TGGGAATTAATTTCCTTAATTTTGCCAATGATGATAAAGTTAATAATTCATCCTCGTTCTCTTCATCATCTTCATCATCGGAATCGTCATCACGTTTACTACTATTATTAATATTATCATTGCTATTATTTAAATTAAGGTTTTCACTAGTGCCACTATCGTTAAAGGCTTTAATTAGGCTCATATTTATCTTTAAACCCTCATTAGTATTACTATTATTGCTACTAATACTTGTATTATTATTAGTATTGGAAGATTGCTTAGGAGATGAAGATATTGATGATTCGGAAGGTCCAGGTATATTAAGAGCCAATGAATTCCACCACTCTTCACTAGCATTCTCCCTCTCATCACCAATGTTATTCATATCCTTCATGATATGATGAAGATCCTTCATTTCCAACATGAAGAGTTTATATTCATCATCGGACATGATTTCATTCTGTTGTTGGGAATGTTGAATATTATTATTATTGGTCAATAATTCAGAAGCAGCATTCCCAGCAAGAGTCTGATCGGCCAAGGAATGATAATGTTGTGTTTGATTCATTATTGACATGATGGAATTTGTGTTCAACATTGCAGACTTATTAAGGGAAGTTGATGCAGCTTGATTCGTCATGTGAATGAAGCTTTTTTGAAGAAGTGAGCTATTGGAGGGCCTATTTCTTTTGTGTTTGTTTCATTAATACAGTAAATACTGTATTTCACCTTAATTTGGCGGTTACAATACTCTATTAATTCAAAACTTGGTGTTGAAAAAGAAAAACTGGCCTTAGTAAGTTTCTAAGAAGGAGGTATGAATGTGAATTGTCATGTTCTAGTTATTTACGGGGAGTAAAACAGTTTCGTTTTTATAAATAAAACCCAACAAGTGTACGATTGGTTTTTGACGAATAATTTCGTATTGACTTGTGCCGGAGCGGGTAATTAAAATCAAATTGTTAGACATAATAACAGCAAAAAAATTTATCGAAAAAAATATTGAAACTGCTTTCTTCATGGAAAAACTGATCAATATTAATTTGCGGGAGCTAGCCAGTGCTCTCCAAACATCCAACAACGAAGAAATACAGGAATATGTAAGATATGGATGTAAGGACCATAAAGTTTCTCTTTCAATGCAAGAATTTTTTGATGTGATAGGCAAATATTATAATTTAACAGGAAAAACAGAGAAACCAAACCATTC